GTGATTCGAATCATTCGAATCAAGCCTTTAACGACTTGATTCGAATCAGATTTTACATGATTCGAATCAACTCGCATCAAGCCGCAAAATATTTACTGTGATAAAATATGTATTAACACAAATTTTATATAAATATAAAATTTTTCATAAATATAAATATAAAAAAATGTTTTGATTTAATTCAATATTATAATAATATAAAAAATAAATATCATAAATATAAAAAATAAATAATGAATTAAATCATGCGAGCCACCCGACTTTATTATGCTTAAATGTATCAGACAACTCCAATCGTCTTTGTGTGACTTTAACCGCATTCATCGACTAACTATATCATCCGACTTCATATGACTCAAACCGAATCAAGCGGCGATATGAGTTGTTCCGACTTCATATGAGCCAACTCGAATCAAGCGGCGTTATGAGTTGTTCCGACTTCAATTCTGATTCGAATCATCCCGACTTCAAGCCGTTCGAGCGATATGAGTTAACCGTATGGGCGATACAATGCGTCGTCGTTCTTGCGTGTTTATTTATTTTACCGAGAGCTGAGAGCGATTTTGTTCGTGAAATATCAATACCCAATTTTGATAATAATTAAGTGTTTTAGATTTTAAATGTTATCAGAATGAACCACTCGAAATTATGAAACGAGTTTCGGGAATCTTTCAATATAATTCTCTTTTGAAACAATTACTAAACACCAGAAAGTCAGTAAATAATATGTTAAATTCTGATTATGTAAGTAATGGCAAATTCACATTAATGAAATTAACTTTCAGCTCTCAGTTTAGATGCGATCCTTTACTGATTCCATAGTAAAATAAACAATCGACCCATGATTCCAAATATTATTTTATATGCTTTTGTGATGCACAATTGTTTGGTAATCTATTATTGTAAATTAATTTGAAGATATGTTTTAGCCGTCCTCAAAATTACATCATTTTTAATAATTTTCAGAATATACTTTTTGATAGTGATTTATGTTTACAATTTCTACTTTGTCGGTTATATTGGTTAAACTGACAATTTTGATTATAAATTTGGATCACTTTTACTAAATTAATACATCCATGATTTTTTTTTTTTGTCTATATATATACTTGATTCGAGTTGATTCGAATCATGATTCGAATCAGGTTTTTTTCTGATTCGAATCATTCGAATCGGGAATTTTTCGAGTCGGCACATCACTAATTTTATGTATTAAAAATTAATGAAGTATACATAATTAAAAAAAACTATATAGACTCAAATATTTTAATATAAACAATATTTTCAGCAGATATATGTATACAACTATATTAATAATGCACATGCCAGAAAATATTCCACTAAAGTATACATAGGCTGCTTTATAAATGATATCGGATAACAAAGGGATAAGTTCTCAAAGCACTTTTCAATTAATTTTATTTAATATGAAAAACAAGCATAAAATATACCTATTATTGAGAAATATTATTATTATAAGCATAAAAAGTAGCATGTAATACAAACTCCGTCATTAATTGTAAACCACTTTCAGAAAATAAATTATGAGTGAAATCTCTTTATTTATTGCTACTGAAATTATAGTTTCACTAAAGATGACTTAATATATTGTGTTGAAGTAAAGATTTTCAAAATTATTTGACTGCTTTAAATTCAAAGTTAAGAAAAACTTAATGCATATATAAATATTGAACTGTAATAACAATTCGAATCATTATTTTGTTTAATAATTACAAAACACGTTGCAAGTTATATGAAGGTTACGCGGTCATCATTAGTGCTTCCTGTTAGATTTTGTAAATAGGTTGTGAACAAGAAATTAGTATATAAGATTTAGACAAAAGTTAGACAGGCAGTCAAACCTGGAGTAAAATTCAGTAAAATGTAGTCTTTGCTCATATGATAACCAAAGGGTTATCAACAAATATTGATTGTAAAAATAGTGAATAATAAAAGTATCATTCAAAGAAGAATTGTGTTTACGAATTACTATCAAACCGCTGTTCGTCCTAAAGGCCTTTCACACTACCAGTGGACTCTGGAGAGTCCACATCACAAATATAATATTTCAACAACTATTCAATTGTTCACAGCTCGGGTCCAGCCTACCATTACAATTCCTGGTCGTACTGATAATCCAGATCATACATCCAAAGACATTACCAACAGCCAGGACAGTTTACAGTTAATATATATATATATATATATATATATATATATATATATACATATATATATATATATATATATAAAAGTTAAATATTGAATATTTGAAATAATATAAGTACATTAGATGTAGTACGATAAATGCCTCTATATATCAGAAATATATTTCTGGACTCACTTTGTAAAAAACATGCTTTGCACTTACATTGTAAGATATCCTCTACAGCAGATCCCAGAACACTAACTCATTTCACGAACCACCTCTGGTGTAACTGCCATAAATCTCAAGTACTCGACACAAAATCACTATTTTATAACCACTACATAACTTTAGTCTTTTACAAGTCTATTTGATCTGTTGCAATTGTCCGAGTAAAGTCTTTACATAATACACGACATATGACTTATATTAGAGACTTTCGTGAACTTAAAATTCGATAATAACAGATATGTGGTAGAAGTACGCAAGTATAACCTACAAAAGCACATACATAAATTATACTGTTGATAATTGCATGTATATAATAAAAGGATACATTGGCGCTGTAAATAAATTGTTTAATTACAAAAAATTGATTCAAAATGGAGACCCTGAAAGAGATACTTATCAAACTATTCAAGGTACACCTAGGCACTTCCAAACATACCCATTTTTTTGGCTGTTAATTAACGTTTCAAGATAAATTTATTATATCAAATTGATCTACTAAATTAATTACACGTTTTGATGCATGAATTAATTAAAACTAATCAAAGATTTAATTAAAAAGTCTTAATTAACGCGAGGACATGTTAATTTACGAAAATTTCTTTGACAATTGAGGCGACTGAACTTTGCAACATGTGTCAAAATGTCTGTGGTCACTTGTACAATTTAAAGCGCGAAATTCAAATAGAAATTTAAAACATTGAATTTTACCTATTTGAAGATATACTGTAAAAGGCAAAGTCGTTTTCAATTATGTGGAATAAATCCACTCGGAATAGTTTGCATCACTCATAAATTAATTTATTTTTTATTGATTAAGTCAATAATTTATACATATCGGTAAGTTCATGCATAGATAAAAGAAGAGTATGGGTTCATGTAACTTGCCTCAAGGCAAAATACCAAAACCAACTAGTTTATTTTTTTAAACAACTTCATATGAACATTTGAACTTGTTTCAGATTTATTTACTTTAGAAAGACTATATGACATATAAAATTAATATATCGATTGTTGAAATGATTCTACTTTTGATGTTGTGCCATTTATTTTGATGTGTTAATACTACTTGAAATATATAAATAATGGTTATGATAAATTAATTAAAGAAATTATAGAATTTGACGTTTTTAATTAAATAGTAATAATTAAAATCAAATTAATTTTTGATAAAAAATTAAGGAAAGTGTTGATCAAAAAAGATCAATTACTAAATAATTGACAACTATATATAAATGATGAATATATGAAACCCTGGCAATATAACACTGATCTGACCAGGGTATGATGAACACGGGGTATTCTAATCATAGATAAAAGAAGAGTATTCTAATATTGTCTAATCTGACTTTCCTCTGATAAGTTATCAATCAGATAATGATGAAAGTGAAAAACAACTTGGGGGTCATTCATTTCGTGAAAGAATTTGGGGAAAAAAAAATTTCAAAAAAAACTTGAAAAAAAAATTGAAAATAAAAGCTTCGGTAGAATCCTCATGAAGCCAGACCGAAGTTCTAATACCCGAAAACATAATAATATTAACGAACATATATTTCAATGAATATAAATATTCACATTTGATAAATCAGTAAGAAAATTTCATATTATAACTTACTATCAGGATAGTCCATGGTTTTTCATTCAAATCAAAACATCCACATTATCTACTCATTTCAATCTTGTTAAAAAGTCATGGACTTTTTATATACATTATATCTTACATTCACTCAATTCAAGCATGTTAAAATGTTTGACGAAGAAAAAAAATTTAAAATTGAAAAAAAAATCTTTTTCAGAAATGTTTTTTTGTAACTTATATAACTACCCCAACTAATATTGCAAAATATTGATTAAAAATGAATGTAGTTAAAGGGTTTAATATATAAAAGTACAGTACGTAATTAAAAAAATTACTGATTTTTAATCACATATTATGGGATATAATTTCTTTATTGCAGATCTTATAAATCTTCATTTGTAATAACAAGTTTAGAATCCATATGAATAATTACATAAACACTGTTGTCAATTACATGAAAAATGATTTATTGTGGAACTTGTGAATACACAATCAAGCTGCTGATAACACACGATTTAAAAGATCAGTTGGCTGGAGGTTCAGCATGTTTAAAATTAGATTACCACTCCTCACGGATCTGAATGTACTTGGCAGAAAATGAATGCTTAAGAATTTTGATGATTATTAGTTAATAAGAGTTAAGGATGGCAGACGATGTAATGAACTAATACTATAATGCATTATTCACTAAATTTCACTAAATGTTTATATTAATAAGTTTAAAAAGTGTGAAGTTATCTCAGTAGATTAGGTATCATGTATATTTAAACTGGCAGTGTTTATGTTGATTTATATTTCAATTTGATTGTATATTTACTATAATATAATATTATCTAGTATATTTTTGTTATTATTGTATTATTACAAAACATAATACGATTGTAATACAAAATTTAGTTTCAAATACCCGGTTACTAAAATTCATTAACTTTCATTTCAAATTTTGCGCCATTAATTTGAATGCCAAAAGCAGCGCCATCACGTCTGAGCGGTGGATCCCTTAAGTATTCCTTCTGAAAGTGAAAATCGGTAGAGAGAAACGTTATGCTTATTTATCTATGGAAACGTGAATATATCATATTCTAGTATTGTCTAGGGCCAAAATTAATTGATGTTTGATGTTTCATGCAAAGTGTAAATTAACAGACGCACATAATATTATTCTTTTATTTGTGCCTAATACCTAAACGTTATATTCATTTGAAGAATATGGACTTAACTCAGGACAGTGAGGTGCCTAAGAGGAATGTAATCAAAACTTTGGCAGATTTGCAACGATTAAAACTTGAAAAATTGATGAAGAATCCTGTACGTTCTTGTTATTCGATATGCCTAATAAAATAACTGCATGATTGTAATTTTTTTTTTTTTTTTTTTTAAGAAATACTTGATATGATAGCTGCTTCCTTCGATTTGTTATTTAATCAAGTGTAAGCTCTTGATATGCAGTCATGTTGTCAAGGCCTACAAAATGATTACACGATTTTCTAGCATCTAACTAATCATTTCAATATTCTTAGGAAAAACCTGTAATCATACCAGAGCCTATCAAAAGTAAAAATATCCCTTCAGTTCCTGACTTTGTACGCAATGTTATGGGTTCTAGTGCAGGTGCAGGATCAGGAGAATTTCATGTATATCGTCACCTCAGGAGAAAAGAATATGCCAGACAAAAATATATACAGGAAAAAGGACAAAAGGTGTTAATAGCTTTATTTTATTTAATTTAAAAATAGTGGAAATAATTTTATTCAAGTTAAAATGATTAACTCATTTTAACTTTAACAAATATTTGCAACAGTATTATTTAATCTTAATTTGTTAACTAATTTCTATTTCAGGAAAAGTTAGAAGAAGAATATCATAATAAAATAGAAATGAATAAAAAAGAAGCAGAAGAGAGAACAGCTAAAAAACGCGTGAAACGATTGAAAAAAAAAGCAAAAAACAAGATTAAGAAAGTGAAAATTGACAGTAAAACCGAAAGTGATAAAAATGTACCGGACAGTGATAATTCAAATGATGAAAGTGATACTTCAAATGAAGAAACAAAATAAGAATAAACATAATAAAGCAGATAAAAAAATATATTAATTTAATAATATATAATAGTAACATATAAAGAATACATTGATTTAACAATTGATAATCATATTCACATAACACATAATTATAAGCTATCGTAATTTTTAGAAAATAAGTTGACTTTAAATATAAATACACAAATTTTCATATTTTTAAGAACACAATTATGTTCAAGAACTTCACATATCAAGATACTACCTCAGCTTTACAGCATAATTGTGGATCTTCTATATCTTTTTTACTTTGGATTAATTTTAGCTCAATATATTTCATGTTGGAAGTATCACCTCCTGACAATAAAAAAAACATATCAGTGAATGTATAGAGCACTAAGGAACTATAAATGTGTAGAAGTGGCAAATTTGCCCCAAAAGATATGTCTTTTTTTAGTGGTTTTCTCTTTCACGCTATCGTTATTTACCAAATATGAAATTTATTATGATGAAATGCAAGCTATAAGATTGAAGTTTCATTAACTAGTAAATAGAAAATGGCATGAATATATAGTTCAAAATAAGATATTGCACATACCAGCTAAGTTTGAATATTCTAGAGTTCGTTTTAGTACTGCCTGAAGAGTGCCAGCTGACTTTTCGAGGGATAGTTTGAAATCTCTTGTTTTTTGTGAATGTGCCAAAAATAATGCTGCAAATAAATCTCCTACTCCTGTAAATGAGGCATTAATTTTAGGAATCTTCAGTACCACTCGTGTTCTTTTCCCATCTAAAACAAAGCAAGATATGAAGAATAAAGTAATATTAAAAGAACAAACTATGTATAAAACTTAGGTCTTCTTTTAAAGCTTTATATTTACAATTACCTTCATTTTGACTGCCCAACATAAGTATAATGTCTTTATCCCCTAGATCGCTGCTTGAAACAACAACTGTATGCACATGACGGCTATGAAACCATTCTGTGCATTTCCATGCATCGTCAATGTTATGAATTTTGCAACCAGTGAGCAACTCCACCTTAAAACAAATACTATTTTTTACTATAATTACAAAATATCAAATCTATGGCAAATGATAAAATTTTTAGACAAGATTTTGTTTTTCTAGCCATATTTATAAACTAAATTATATCAAAGATAGAAATGGGGTAAATATTGCTTTAAAATTGCAAAAAATGGCATGAATGGAATTTTATTACAAATTAGATATGATTCTAAAATATATTCAACAAGTAACGAAGAATATATATCGATACCGTTTATAAATATTACCTCAAATTGATTTGGAGTAACAATATCAGCCAATGGAATAATTAATTCTCTATAAATTGGTAATAATGATTCTGGAACATACATTTTTCCATTATCACCTAACACTGGATCGCAAACTAAAATATAAAAAATATGATTATAATCATGCTGTACAGCAGTATATTAAAAGTCTTACCGTATGTCAATTTTGGATTTTTTTCTCTCAATTCCTTAACGACGTTTGCAATTGTTTTAAGAAAATCTGGATTAGCTACATAACCCGTTAATAAGTGACTGTAGACATTGATACCATTCAATGCTAACCCTTCTGCCAGCTCTCCTAAAATAGTTGTTTAACATTTTTAAATTTAATATGTATATCCCAATTAAATTAGTTACAATATTGATTAAAACTTCATATCGTTTCCGTTTATTCAGCATATAAAGTGTACAATTCTTTATTAAACTATAAATTTCTCGAACAAACTACAAATTTATTTAATAAATAATGCATGTTAATTTGATGTCCATTACCTAATTCCTTGTCCGTTAGAACTTGCCCTCGTACATGTTTATATCCAGTATGATTAGAAAACTGCACGGAATTGATAGTATCCACTTCAAATCCTAATACCTAAAGTTCAGATACAATTAGTTTTCTGCCACTATTAAGAGTAAAGTCATATATATATATATATATATATATATATATATATATTTACATTTATATATTAATTTGTAATTTTTACTTACAATTAAATTGTAAGTATTTTAACAATACTTACTTGCAGAGGAAAAGTGGCACTTTTATTTCCAACATATCCTGACACTACATGACTCTGAATAGACAAAACTCTCGACAAATCTGTGCACATTTTAAAATAATATATAGATAAATAAAAATTGCAATTTAAAATAGAATAAGTTAAAAATTTATTGTAGGTTAAGTTGTGTCAAAAAATCAATACAAAGCAAGTTGACAATTTTCCTGACACACGTGCTGTCTGAACGAGAAGTCAATTTCAAATAAGATTCACAGCGATGGAACGAATTAATGAAAGAATTAAACATTATATTGGTATAAGCAGGGCCGGTCCTGCCTTGAATGCAATGCATGCAACAAATGCGGGCGCACGCCTTAGGGGGCGCCAAAACGAAATTTGGATATAAAATTTATAATACAGTTTTTTCAATATCATTAAAAAAAAATATAAATTCTTTGCATCTTTTACTAATTTTGGACAATATTTTTTAAACTTTAAAACAACAATCTAATACACGATGGAAAAGTAAAGATGAATACATACAATTTGGCTCTTGCTATATCAATTAGGAGAGTATACGATGCAATTTTAGATATTTTAAATAATGAAAAATTAAATTAAAACTAGTGGGGTGTATGGCATCGTGCCTTAAGGAAAATTGCTGGAACTTCCGGTACCGTAACGAAATGTTCGAGGAATACTGAATGTTTTTAAATAGATTATATTAATATTGTAACATTATCTAATATTTATAAGAATTATATAAACTGAATTGCAAAGTTGAAATTATTTGTTTAAAGTATATTAGAACTATAGCCAGAATTAAAAATAAAATCTGAATTAATTTCGATATACAAAAAAAATTTTTTTTTGAAAAAAAAATGTTGAAATATTTTTTTCTCAAAATCAATTATTTTGTTAAGACACGCAGAAAGTTTTTTGAATCACTTAAATCGGACGCTTAGTTCTCTCAAAAACTTGTCATTTTTTACATATTTAGCTCCGTATCTTCGAAAAGGCTGGGCCTGCCTTTGCCAAAAACTAATCAGCCCTTTTCCCTATCAATAGGAATCGAATGTTTTTTGAACCATTCAAATGGGTTGATCCGTGCGCCCGAAAACGTGACTGGAAATTTGTATCCATACATACATACACACACACACACATACACACACATCAATTTTTTCTGAGGTATGCCAAAATGTTCAGAAACCTTCAAAACGTCGAGAAATGTAAAAATTTTCAATTTCGATTTTCGGCCCATTACAATAACTTACCCTTCGGGAAGTTAATAATTTAACAAAGTACCAATGTTAACATTGATACTTTGTTAAATTATTAACTTCGCGAATTATGTTTGATAACGAGAGGCTTTTTTTTCTTGCTTTGATTAGTTCAATAGAATAAAACACATACAATCCCCAAAATGTTTCACAACCCAAAAATTAATATTACACATGCGTTAAAATTAAATGAAAATTTAAAAATATTCTTGCAAGTAATTATGAACATACTGAAATTTTTGGATGTCCGAAAAAGTTTGGATTGAAAATAAAAATTTCAAAATAGTTTTTTAGCGCGAGAACTATAGAAGGCACTAGTATTTGAATACGAGCACCCGCAAATCGCCTTGATCTTCTAAATAATTTAAAGTGAGCTAATTATATATATATATATATATATATATATATTTATATATATATACGTATATATATACAGGACCGAGGATTACCGTGATTTTTTGTGATTTGTCATGATTTTTTGTTAAACCCCCCTCTACCTAAAAGCCTCACGTGATTAATGGACGAAAATTTTATATTTTAATATTATATTGTTAATAATATATATATGTATATATATATATATATATATATATATATATATATATATTATTGACAATATTGTTCAATTATTTATGCATATGATTCTCAAATTCTTATTTTAATTATAATTACTTAACTAATTCTTCTAAATTTTTATTTCAAGAAATATAATTTACGCATTGTGCATCAAAACATTTCTTTTAAATTATGAAGTTTGTAATATTTTATTTCAAAAATGTCGATTTTTTTAAAATTCTTTGAATATTTGGATTTTTGTATATTATTTTAATATGTAATGCCTAATAAATTTTCTGCAATCTAATTTTTGGATTATTGAATGATTTTTAAACATCTGAACTTCAGACCAACTTTTTTCTAGAAAAATGTTTAATTAAAAAATGTAAATTTATTCGACGTTACGAGGACGTGGGATATCCCTTTTTTCAGAATTAATATTTAATAAAAAAAAAATTACCTTGTTTGGTGTGGATTGTTAATATATATATATATATATATATATATATATATATATATATATATTTGATTTTTGAGAACTAAGAATTTTTTTAACTCTTCTGAAAAAAATATTTTTTTATATATTTTGAATATTTTGGACTTTTTTGCAAAACAATCGCGCGGCGTAGCTATTTTAGAGACGAAATATCGAAGCTTAAATAAATTAATCGTATGACTCAAATTTTGTCTCATTGGATTCAGAGTGACTTGAAACATTGAGAAAACATAATTAGCAAATTGTTTTTTTTTGCGAAAACAAACTTCACCTTCTGGAAGTTTGGTATTTGAAAACTATTTATATAATTGATAAAATAAAGGATAAATAGGCTCTTATAAATTGTTCAAATTTATCCATGATTCTCAAATTCTCATTTGAATTATAATTCGTTTAAAGACTTAAATTTTATAATTTATAAATAGCGATTCATTACTAAATATCAATAATATTATATATTTTATATCACACACCTTTTATATGCTTCAAGAAATGAATATACTTGAACATGAAATTTTGAATATCGTTTTTAAAAAAAATGACTTTTTAAAAATATTTATGTAAAAATGACGTTTGAAGTTTTTAAACAAAATACTACATAAAATTATTGTATGTACAATAATAATTATTATAGTCAATAATGAATTTAATCCAAAGACCTTATGATACACATGTGAACCCTATCTCAATTAAATTGTGGGGAAAATCTATATGTTTTATGTATTTCAAAATAAAATCTAAATATTCTTCATCGGATGAAACCAAAAAATTGGTTAAACTCAAAACACACAAAAGTATCATATATAAATCTAATATAATCGTCACAAAGAATGTGATGGTTATATGAATGGTTAACCGATGGGTTGCCTTTCGTTAAACCTATATAATTCTTTATCAACAGACATATATACTGATATATATATATATATATATATATATATATATATATATATATATATATCAGTATTAAAATTGAGAATCGATCAGGCCTGAGTGGCACTGTACGACCAAAATAAATATTTGACTTAAAACAACAATGAATAAAATTAGTACCAATGTTTACTTAGTCTATAGGGTTGGATTTTTCAAATAGGAGAGGTATGTTTTGTACTTTCTGATTATTTCAATTGGTGTATGTGTTTAGACAAACTACTGATATTTGTATAAGGAATGTTTTTGGTTTTATATATATGTTGACTTCAATAACCAGCGGCCATTTCATTACGCTTTTATTGTAATTCGATCTGATTTTCAATCGTAACTATTCTTGTATAAATATTTACTTTGGCGTAAGGTAATGCATTGTTTATTGGTTTATTATCTAACAATAAGAAAAAATCTATATTGAAGTGAAGAAGCGTTAACATATTGCTATGGAAAAAATAATTAACATTATTTTGAATTATTAGTACTGGCTTCTCTAATTGATACATATAGTATGCACTATGCAGCATAAATTAATGACAAATTTGAAAATGTGGTTCTAAACAAATTAAAATAAGACATGAATTTTTGTTTGATATTTTTAAAGCAATCGTCTTAATGCTAATATAAAATAAAATTCTATTATTACAATTCAAATAAGTAACTAATAAGACAAATTTATGTATCAAAACTATCAATCATTTAATTACAACCGCAATCAAATATGTATGTAATTAAGCCTTATCTAATCAGTTGAGAATATTGGCAAGTGTTTTAAATAAGTAAATCGAATGCATGTGTCTCCAACTTAACATTTTTCAAAATAATTATGATTCAATGTTAAACATATTCTACATTTAATTCTTTTTCACACATCGTCGATCATCGGCAAAGCAGAAGATAATATCAATTCAATTTTCTCCTTTATAGGATAAGTATCACTTGCAATGTGTGGCCAGAAATATAGTGGCAAACAGGGTTAAAAATTGATACAAAGAATTACCTTTTATTTTATTAAAATATAAATATTTTTAATAATAAAAAGGTTGCTTCCATAGTAGGTATTAGTATTTTTCAAACCATCTAAAATTTTTAAATTTTTATTTATCATATTATTATATTCGAGTTCGAAATAAAACTAAGTAAATTAATAATAAAATGGTTGCTACCCTAGTAGGTATTAGTATTTTTCAAACTACCTAAAATTTTTAAATTTATTATTTATCATATTATTATATTCGAGTTCGAAATAAAACTAAGTAAATTAATAATAAAATGGTTGCTACCCTAGTAGGTATTAGTATTTTTCAAACTACCTAAAATTTTTAAATTTATTATTTATCATATTATTATATTCGAGTTCGAAATAAAACTAAGTAAATTAATAATAAAATGGTTGCTACCCTAGTAGGTATTAGTACTTTTCAAACTAGCTAAAACTTTTAAAATTAATATTTACCATATTATTATATTCGAGTTCGAAATAAAATTAAGTAAAATATTTTTTTTCATTTTTATTTATTATTTAATAGACAATCAGAAGACAATGTTTTTATTAGCCTATGTGATAAGTTATATTTGGCGTTTAGAGGTCTCTTCCATTGAAGAGATCCTCTGAAGTAATAAAATATGAATTATTAAATTGAAAAATAACTAACATTTAAAAATACAGATTTAAAAAATTCACTTGAGAGTGCTTGATTTATGGTTTTCATTATTTAAAATGCGTAACTATTTATGTTTGCGTCAATATTGAATAACATACATTAGTACAACAAAAATTATTCTATTCCAATATGATAATATATCTGTAAGCAATAAATTCTATAGTAACCATGTAATTAATGAAATATCACACAAAATTACTTGATAACATTATCAGTTAGACAAATCAGACACGAGAGATTATATATGTACATAATATATAATAATAAATAATAATGACGCTAATAAATAATTATAATACGATATGTTTTGTTTTCAAAAA